CGCCCTTCCGCGATGGGGTGGACTTGAACTACAAAGACCGTAGAGAGATCTTGGAGAAATGCCGTCGAGGAAAACGACAGATGTTCAAGAAGCTGTGCTGTGCAAATTCCTGCTGGAGGTGGTCAACTATGATTCCGAGATCCAAATCTATTATTGGGAGTGGCCACTTCGCTGTCGCGCACATCATCGAGGACTTCTTCAACAAGATCGGTGTGGTCTTCGACTGCAGAATCGATGGATGCAGGTTTGGGCTGAAGTCCTAAAACGGCAATCTGCTTCTCAAGTCATGGCAGATCAAGACCACATCTCTCAAGAGTTCTATGCAGAGTTCTGCCTTCGCATTTGCTTACGGAATCACTCACATGAGTGGATCCATGGCTTGGAGACCAACCGCTCTGCCTACTACCCAGCAGCAATGTGCCGCACTCCTTCTGAACCTCCTGGACCAGCTGATCTACCACCTCCTGATCAACTGGCAGTTCCTGAGGATGACCCTGCTGATGAGGAGTCAGAGAATCGACCTCCCTCACCTCAAGATGCCAAACGATGGGAATGCACCGTGCAGCAGGACATCCATCCACCAGGAATCTGGTTCGCTTGGTTCAAGACGCTCAGCTTCCCGCGTGGAAGATCAACCAAACCAAGAAGTTCAATTGTCCCATATGCGAGGAGATGCGTCAAGGTGTCTCTTTAAAGCAGGTCCCGCCAGCTGCTGCTCATGTGGCACCAGCCGCTTGGGAACAAGTCGGAGTTGACGTTAAAATTCATCCTGTTTGTGGATTTGGCAACTCGCTACCGAGTCACGGAGACCCTCTTCACCTATCCTCATGGGATCCCAAGGGTGGAGAACAGTGACATGGTGATTAAAGCCCTCACTACAAGATGGTTGATCCCGAGTACCTGGTGGCGGACAATGCCAAGTCGCTGACATCCCAAAAGCATCCAAAAGCTGATGGAGTTTCTGGCTGACGTGGGAAGTCACGGTGAATCATGGGCTCATGGCATCACTGAAAGGGCCATCCAGCAGATCAAGGAGACCTCCAGTCTCATCCAACAAGATCTACCTGATCAAGATCCCGTTTTGACGGTTGCTATGGCCACCAGTGCCCTGGACAACACCGAGCTCCAGAAGGGTTACAGCAGCATTCAATGGGCTTTTGGAAATCAACATCAACTAGATTTAACTAGATGACGATGAACTTCGTCAACAACTCACTCTTCCAGTGGATCGCCAACAACATGAGTTTCTTCGACTTCTTGGACAACGTGAACTGGCAGAAGAGAAGGCTTGAAAGTCAAGAGCCAAGGCAAGCTCAAGAACTCATCGATCCGACAGCCCCTTCAGGACCTTCCAGATGGCTCAGCCCGTCTACATCCAGCGGAAGTTCGTTCCACGCACCATCTATGCTGGACGTTAAAGGTGGACATCGCTTCGTTGGACGACCACGATGGGTCGGCCTACTTCCTGGACGTGCTGACGACGATCGTCAACATGTGGCGTGGGTGATCCTGGGCAATCGGATTAAGACTACAGTTCACTCTTTGAAGCTCAAGGTGATCAATCTCACCTGTGGAAGCAATTGGGTGATGTGATTCCACGCCGGGAGTTCATCGACATCACCACTGGTGAAGAACCTGGTCCTGAAGAGACCGAAGAACCTCATCTACCACCAGTGCCCCCAGATCCCAAATGGCTCAACGATCCTCAAGCCAAGGGTTCGCTTCAATGAAAAGGCTCATTCCTCAGATGAAGGATGATGGTCAATGCCAGACTCCCCGGACGACAAGATCATACAAGATCGGAGATGATGATGAAGATGGAAAACCAACAAGGGAATGGGTGGAACCAAACATCAAACATCCCACCTGGAGTCTCAACCTCTTCCAAAACTCCCTTGCTTGAAGATTCTCCGGATCCAGCTCAATCCCCAGAGGAGACTGTCGTGGACGACAATCCCGTTCCAGAACCTGAGACAAAGAAAGCAAAGCCGGACGATGACAGCGACAAGGACGATGACTTCGTGAACATCGACCTCAACACTGCCGTGCTTGAAGCTGGCGAGGGCTATGTGATGACCATCGACCTCGATTTCTCCAGCAACCGGCAGTGGAAGCAATTCATGAGAGACCCAGCCTTGTTCCTGGCCAAGGAGGTCAATGGCGCCGAGGTTCAATACCGTCGCCTCTCACCAGAAGATCGAGTTCTCTTTGAGAATGCCACCGAGACTGGTGAGGTCTCGAGCTTCGTGAAAACCGAAGCTGTCAGACAATGTTTAGGTTTCGAGGAAAGCCAGAAGGCCAGACAATCCAACCGAGTTCTTCGAGTTCGCTGGGTCTTAGTGTGGAAAGATGTCCCAGAAGAAGACAGGGACAAGGCCTTGGAGGACCGCAAGACAAACGCCTTGACCACCTACAACAAGGACCTGACCAAAAAGGCCAAGGCGAGGATCGTCCTCCTGGGAGTTCAGCATCCAGACTTGGAGCGTCCCGACGTCCGCACAACCTCTCCGGTTCAGAGCCAGCTCATGAAGCACTTGAGTCTCTTCGCTGCAGCGCAACGCGAATGGGCATTGGAATCGTCGCTGGACATGAAGACGGCCTTCCTGCCTCCCTGTGGCCGATTCGCATGGGCCGGCCACGGTGACAATGACACATTCCTGCCAATGCCGAACATGAGGCAGGCGGTAGAAGTTGATCACCATGGGGTTGCTGCGAATCTCCTTCACGAGAACCGTCAGCTCGGTCAGGAGCAAGTTGGGCAGGCTCCAACCTCATCAGAACTCAGTGGAGAGTCAGGTGGACCTCGAAGTCGGTGGTCGGGGATTGCCACCTCAGGGAGAGTCTCGATGTAGAAGTCCTGGTTCATCTCGATCCAGCGATCGTGGCCTTTGGTGTGAGCTGAGATGTCGACACCTGTGTGGCGGAACATGCTCTCCTTCTTGGTTCCCCACTTGTAGGCCTCGTCAACCTTGTTTCGGATTGACACCCATGTCGGGCTGGACAGATCACCAGCTCGGGGGAAGTCATCCACATGGCCTCCAATGAAAATTCAAGGCTCGATGGATGTGGTGCCAGCTGAACGGATGCTGCGCCATCGATGAGCCCGACATCCTCAAGAAGGCCAACGACCTTGTGAAGTTTGTCGGCGGCATCATCGCGACCGACAGCAAGGGGGCCTTCGACGCCATCAACAAGAACGAAGGGCCGCTTTTAGGTCTTTCAAACACCCGAAGCGCCTTGCAAGGGTATCAGCCCCCAGAGCAGGTGCAGGAGTCCGGAGAGAAATTGATTTGGGTCAGCGGAGATTGAAGTCTTGGAGGTTCGCTGACGAAGAAGCACCGCTCTTCACGAGAAGGGCTCACGCATTTTGCCAAGAGCCAGATCTGGAAACTGAGGTATGATCCAGATTTCGTGCTGAGCGAGCGCAAGGCACGGAAGAAAGGCCAGAATGCTGCGCATCACCCTGATTCCACCTGGTCATGACTCAAGAAACCTTTTGGATTGGCACGGCAGCCGTACCATGGTTGAGCCATGACATGTTCAGTTCATGAACCTGTTTTTCCCGCAGGCCTTGAGCCACTGGCATGCTCGAGCGAAACAGCGTGTCGCCGCGAGGGTCGACGACTTGCCCAAAAAACGGGCATCTTCCTTGTTTTCATCCCGAGCCATACTACTTCATAGCCTACTTGGCTGGCACCTTCTTTTTGGGGTTTGCGCACTCCTGCTACCGCAGGGCTTTAACGTCTCAATGGCGTGGCTCTGGATCGGCGTTTTGGTTTTGCGGGTGCTGCTGCCGTGCTGATGCTGGTACAGGCGTAGCTACTGGTGTGGCCGAAGGTAGACAAACAATGAGAAACAGCGATGCCGGGTGCACCTTTTGGATAGCTCGATTGTCGGTTTCAATCAGCATGGCATGGCCCGTGAAAAACTATTTGGCACCCTGTACACTGGTCAACAGCATCGGGTTCACGATGCACGCTGCCTATCAGTCTTGCCCAGCGGTTGACCAAGCATGTGATGAGCTGGTTTTTCGGAACCCTTCCAGCAAGAATGCAGTAATTATGCAGTATGCCTCAGTATATATGCCTTTATGCAAGACTTGACGGCGCTGGCCTGCTGTGGTGTGAAACATTCAGCAAATCAATCCAAATGCTGCTGAAAAGGGCTCCAGACCCTCGTTAAGCCAGCTGACGAAGAGGCAAAAAGCACTTAGGGAATTGAAGCACGCGATTCGATGTAATTAGTACTGACATACAGCGTAATGCAAACCGTGCACAAATGAACGAAAAACACTCCTGTGCAACTCACCTGTCTGGTGCCGGGCGCATCAGCCGGGCCAAGGAAAAAACATCCCGCTACTTCCTTGGCCTGAGAAATGCCTTTGCTAGCCTCTGCTAACTCTTCACGCCTGAAGCCTTGGGCCTCAAGCCTTGATGCCATTGGATGGCTGCATCAAACTTGTCAAACTTCATTAAAATTCCCGGATGCGCACGAGACAATTGAAGCCGAAGACTTGCTAAAGTGAAACTGTGATGCGCCCGCACTTGATCGTGCCGTTTTGCGTGATGCTCCTGCAACGAGCCGAGTGCAAAAAATGCCCGAAGCCAGCGCAGCTACCAAGTCAGTGCATAGTCTCCCCAACGGCATGTTTGGTTTAACATACAAAGCGGTAGCTTGACGCCACAGGAAAACACAGCCCAAACACACACACATCCGCGAGCACGCGCGCGCATGGCATTCACAGGATTTGACTTATAGAGCTATTCTGAGTCAGGCATGACCACAATGACATGCGACAGTGCCCTGCCTCGGCTTTTGTCCGCATAACCCCTTCTTGGAAGGCGCACAACTGCATCCTGAAGGACTATCAGCCGACATAATGGAAGACCTGGCGTACGAGGTCATGGCACAGCAGTTTTGCAACTTCATGATCGATATTCCATTGTTTGAGCTTTCTTAGTTTCTTGCTTCCTTATCTGAATTGCAGTATATGTATCTGAAGGACTCGTGATCGCCCCCCAAGTCTAAACTCCACTGACTGACACAAGATGGGCAGCTAGACGCACTGTTCGACATATACGGGATGACGCCGTCGGGGTTGCAAGCCATTGCCATATCTGAGGCGGAAAGGCTTGAATGGATTGGTTGACCCATGGTCCATAAAACATGGCTGAACCTTGCCTGAAACCGCAAGTGCTTGGATGCTTTCTTGGCCTTCGGGTTCGGCTTCGGTGTCTCTTCCTTCATCGCTATCTGGAACACAGGTTGGGCCATCCGGGCCATAGCGTGCCTCACACCAAACAAAGGCTGAAGGTTGGTGTAGCCGACGGAACTGCCATTTAGATCCATTTAGTGTATGGCCTGCGCAGCCTCAGAGCCTTGAAGGCCTCCAGCGTGCCGACTGTAAGAATTGAACTGCATAGTAACCATAGTACTGCATGCATTAAATCTAGCTACGCTTGAACTCGCGGACACTCTTGTCATGACATGAGAAACCATTGCAAGAACTGAAGGTAAACTGTCGAATGGCAGGTTCACATTATAGCCTGATTGGATTGACTCCGGCACAGAAAGCGCTGGATGATTACCACCTTCTGGCGCATTGCTGGGGCCTGCGAATTGACAATATATAATGAACTCGGCATACCATGTGAAGTCAGATTGCGGTTAATGGTTAGCGGCTAGCGTCGGGACGATGAGAAATCAAACCACTGGGTTTGATTGAGTAATGCTGAGTATTGGATGTGAAAGCTCGGTGTGCCTTCACAGCAGGTTCCCTCCCTTAAGCGCCCAACAATTCTGCCTTACAAATCCTTACTTTTGACTCAAACATTGGAGCATTGAGCGTAGAGCCTGTTGTCGAATGACATCAATACGACTGCATCGCTAGACTCAAAATAATCCAAAGTACTTATTGAAGCGCCACGCGTTTGCTTTTGCAGGCGCAATGATTTGGACAAGCTGCAAGAACTGGCAATGTGCTGCCTAAACAGCAAATATTCTAACGACAACAGCTAACACATGCTATACAAGTCAGAGAAGCACCAAGCTCGAAGAACAAGGCCGGTTGCTTTGGGAACAAGATGGAGCCAGGCTCCCGAACACATGGCTAAGAATCCTTTGAGTATAAAAACATACGAGTCCTCATCAACAAATGATCCAAACTTTGCAAGGTGCCGGTGTGTTGCGGTATCACACAAATGCATCAAAAAGGCAGGATGAGAATGGGGCTTTTTCACTTGGCAAGCTTGAGGGAAGGAATGTTAAAGTAGGTAGATAGGTAGATAGATAGGTAGATAGGTAGGTAGGCGATAGATAGATAGATATATAGATAGATAGGTAGATAGATAGATAGATAGGTAGATAGATAGGTAGATAGGTAGGTAGATAGACAGGTAGATAGGCAGATAGGTAGGTAGGCGATAGATAGGTAGGCGATAGATAGATAGATAGATAGATAGATCGATAGAATCGATAGACCGATAGATCGATAGATAGCTAGCTAGCTAGCCAGGTAGGTAGGTAGGCAGAGAGAGAGAGAGAGACAGCGAGAGAGATACCGTGAGCAGTCTATGTTACTACTATCGACTATCTCAGTCTATCTCACACTTGCGAATGTATATATAATGGAGCCGCCTCCGTGAGAATGTCAGTGCAAGCAATCACGTCAAAGACTAGACATGTTTTCAATATGTATATATATAATTGCCCCACAGCACAGTCCCCACAGCCAAGCTCGGTTTAGGGCAAAGGAAAACCATGGAAAACCCATTGATCCAAAATTGACCTCATGAAACTGTCTGTTCTTTAGCTGCCAAGCAATACCAAGCGTATCATACGTTGCACCCTCTGTGCACCCGAGCTGGGCAGCACTTGTGCATCTACACGGATAAACAATGAATATATAGTAACCCTGCTCAAATGCACCAGGCTGGTTTCGGCTGAGTTCAAGGGCTGCATGGAGCCGACTGGGAAATGGCCATGAACTAGTTGCGTGGATTGCATGCTCACGACTGGAGGCTCCACTGCAACAAGCAAACTGAAAGCAGTGGTGGACATGCATTTTAGAGATTAAAGAGCTTGAATTTGCCTGCGGGTGGTTATTATGAGAAACTACTAGGCCAGGCCAAAGGGTACTGGCAGCAAGCGATCAGGCAGCACATTTTCAAGCCACCTCCCAACATTCCTGCTGCGCAAGGTTGAACACATGAGCAGCACACAACTGAACCGCATGAGGTATCTAGATGTATCTATATAGTTTCTTTTCTCTGCTGCGGCAGTCATGGTCTAAATCACTCGAGTTTCTACTGATGGACCTCCCGTTGATAAATTTTGTAACAGACGTACTTTAGTGGTGCCCTACGGCAGGCTAAAAATGGTGCCCTGCAAAGCTCTTTCTTGCCCAATTGCGTGCACATAAAAAGAAGTTTGATAATCGTTCAAGGACTCTAAATTGCAATGTTTGTTCTCTCTTCTTGTCATGCATCCAGCAACCATGTGCACAGTCTCTTCTTTTGGGCCAACCACATTCATGATGCTTGTGTCAATATGACATTGTGGCGCTGTGCCACGTGGTCGCTTGAACTATTGTCTCCTTCACCCCAGCACTGCAATGACAACCCGGCAAGCCAATGTGGCCAAATACTTTTGATGATAGGCCCTCGACTAGGCCCCACCTCCTATTCGCATGACTGCATAGCTGGTATTTGCAGGACATGATTTGCAAGTTCACTTGCTTGCGAAAATGCAGCGATGCAAATGCATGCAACAAAATGTGTGCAGGGTGCACCAGATGTTGCCAAGGTGTTTCAGACATTGGATGGTGTGTGTGTGTCAACCTCTGTAACTAAGAGTTTCGAATGCAGGGGCGTGCAGCATCTGTGGTCCACTGCACGCAACGAAGCTACGACCACAGATGGGAAGGGATCAAGGACGCTTGATCCTATACCTGCTGACCAGCACACTGACTCCAATGGTCCACCCTGTCGCTGTCTTTTTGTTTCCATGGTTCTTGCATGATACTTCCCCCAAGCCCTTTCCTCCAGCTGAGCCGCGCTGTCGTTTTCCCACCGCTGTTCTCGTGAGCTGCAGATGTGCGAACAACCTTTTGTTAAACAATACAATTGCGCCGACTCTCTCACCTTTGGGTTCCATCGCCATTTTTCCCTGGGAATTGAGTTAACTGAAAACCAATGTCAGAGTGTGACTCGCTCAGTCGTCCCACTTGGGAGCTGGGTGTGATCCTCCGCAAGGAGGCGCCGTTTTCACTCCAGACTACCGTGTAACGGATTCCACTGTTCCTCCATGCGTTGGATTCTCTTAACCGAATTGGCCTCACTTCAGGATTCTCAAAACATGATGCCGTCGGGCCCACGACAACCCTTCCAAGCCGCCGGGCCAACGGAGAATAAGCCCAGACGTGTTCTCTACCCCAAACACCCCAACCCCTCCCCCCTCTAATTAGGGTAACAGAGGGAAATGGTACTCGGCACACTTGTGTGTCGGTGCCTTTCCCTCTGTTGTCCCTCTTCTAGTCTACTCTACCTGGGCGGTGTAAGACAAAAGTCCCGCTCCCTAACTAGTGCACCTAATTCATTCGGCCAAGTATTCAGTAACTCTAGAGTGCTAGGTAGTCACACACACACGGACACACACATGTACATACACTTCCCTGCCCCCCACTTTCCTTCTTGCGCTTTTGGTCGTTTCTTGGGCTTTCTCTCAGGTTTTTAGGTTGTTCTTGAGGCTCGTTTCCCTACCCCAGTCAAGGGCTAAGTATTCACTTTTGTCTACTCCTACCTTTCTCTCTTGCCCTCTTAGCGCTGCTCTTTCTGTTTTTCTTTCTTTTGTTTCTAAGGCTTTTTAGGTACCTATTCAGGTCCTCCGCGAGAGCGCCCCAAAGCGGCATCGTGTGTGTGTGTGTCAACCTCTGTAACTGAGAGTTTCGAATGCAGGGGCGTGCAGCACGAAGCTACGACCACAGATGGGAAGGGATCAAGGACGCTTGATCCTATACCTGCTGACCAGCACACTGACTCCAATGGTCCACCCTGTCGCTGTCTTTTTGTTTCCATGGTTCTTGCATGATACTTCCCCCAAACCCTTTCCTCCAGCTGAGCCGCGCTGTCGTTTTCCCACCGCTGTTCTCGTGAGCTGCAGATGTGCGAACAACCTTTTGTTAAACAATACAATTGCGCCGACTCTCTCACCTTTCGGTTCCATCGCCATTTTTCCCTGGGAATTGAGTTAACTGAAAACCAATGTCAGAGTGTGCTCGCCCAATGCTTGCGAGTGCAAAACTTATAAGCCTAGAGTGAGACTATTACCCTGCCACGGTACATTGTTCTCAGCGCCGTCAACAGTTATATCTTCTGATCATATAACATCCAGGGAGACAGAGAATTGGCGGAGCAATAATTAGACTCCTTTCCAATGAGAGAATCTCGCCAGGGTTGCTTGGAGATTTTGTCGGTGCTTCCGCCTTGGCCTGGAGGGATCAATGAAGTTCCAACACTGGGTGGGCTTCACAAGACAGCTTCAAAGAGTCCTTCGTTTGAGCCTCTGGTCGGGTAGCACTCCTGCTTATGTCGCAAAAGTTTTTGACGCTATACAAGTGATTCTGCCAAGTACAAAACAAGCCAATCCTGTCTCTTTCTTCAGCTGGTCTTGCCAGATCGACTTTGACGTCTGAACCATCCTGAAACGGAACGCGTTGAAACATGTTGAAACCTACCCCTTGCACGTATCAATTCAGCACCCACAAACCCAGTTCTCCTTGCTTCTTGCGCGACCGCTTCCAGAGGTATCTCTTGAAGATGCCCTGCTGTGCTCAGAGATGCGATCAGGTATGACAGGAGTGGCGCCAGCACTCCTGGCGAGACTCAGGCTTTGACAAAAGAATGTGGCTCTCATTCAGTGTTTTGTGCACTTTTTGAGGTTTTGTTTTTGGAGCTGGTTCTTGACCGAGCGTGAAAGGAGACTGTAATAACTGTAGTACTTGCGACCTGAAGTTAACGTGGCAAATTCCCATGGCTGACCCTCACAAAACCTATGCAAACTGGAACGAACACGGACAAAAGAACCATTGACTTTTTCAAGCTTGTGCAGGTATAATTAATGCACACCTGTTCAATCTCAAAAAGGCCAACAACTTGCAGGGTCAGGAAAGGCCTCAAGAGGCGGTGATACTTTTGATATCTTTTGACTTTTGATTCAGTCACGTTTGTGCGGGTTGTGTGGGCCCACTGAATACTGAATTGACAACTTTGGAGCTTCTACAGCATGTACAGCTGTTCTGAACCGGACCTTCTATGCGCTTGAGAATGCCGAGCATCAGTTCCAGCCAAAAGATTTTCGAACAAGACAACGCACAATTATATACAGTATTCAAAAGGGTCAACTTGAAAGGGCTTCTGTCCAAAAACCTTTTGCTGAATTTTGGCAAAAGTCTTTCACTGGGCCACTCCCAACTCTTGGCACATTTACAAATGGCCCACTTATATACCCATAACAGCAACAAACGCATGCTAGGTGAACACATCTACCCAATGAACCTACAGTACATGCAAATACAATATATATATATATATGTATGCACACCCACTTACACACTCTACATTACTATATGCATAACAATGCACAACAACACTGTGTACATACATTTAAGCTTAGACGTTGGCCTGGAGCTTGGCAGGTTTCTCTTCTAATAATAGTGTGTGCATGTTGTTGTTGGAGAGGGGTTGTAGCTCAAAAGCACACAGCGGCCTCTAAAACAGTCTTGTAGTATTGAACAACGCATCCCAAAAGCTTTGTGTTAGGCAGTCTGATGATTTTTATCCAATATCTTTTGTTGGACAAGGTTCCGAGAAGCAGGTCTTTTGAAAGGAAGATGTGCCTCTAAATAATAGAGTGCAGCGTCTTCAAGGAATCTGTGCAACATGTTTTGTTTGCTCGGCATTCTTTGTCCTCTTCTCATTCAATTGTGCTGCTCGTGCACCTTTGAGCTGCTGAAACTGTCGTGCTGAAGCTGAAGTGATGAGAACGTTAAGGCCACGGCTGGATTCGACACCATCCACAGCAGCCTGCTAGGTTCGTTTCACACAAAACATCTAGCGACTTAAGAATCCTCCAAAATGCAAGCATGCAAGCACGAAAGGTCAATGAATGATTTGCAACGTCAATCATTTGCTGGCCTGGCCGGGCTTCGCAGAGCTTTTAGGCTTGTTACTCTTCCCAGTGGTCCCACTTCCACCAAGCCCTGATCCTGCCGTAGCGTGGTTTGTGGGTCCTGATTTGGCTGCTGGCTTTTCCTCTACTTTCCCCTTTGGCTTCTCCTGCGCAAAATACGCTTCATGGCTTCATGGTATTGAACGATGTTGAACGCATCATTTGCACATGTAGCGCCGGTTGCGCGAGGAAAGTGTTCACCGCCAGGATCTTTGCTTGAACTGGAGGTATCTGAAATGCACACTGACGCGCAAACCTTGCTTCTTGCATCCAAAAGGTTCCACAAGCAGCAGCATGCAGAATCGACGGCACACAGAAAAAAATATTCCCGGACCCTGCCAAAACCAGCGGAACACAAAAGGAACCTATTGTTTTTGCTGTCGCTAGCCGCTAATCTTTACACAGGCCATGATGGTGGCAAGTTTTAATTGCATTGTACAGCAGGCGTTCTGCATGAAAGCGGGTCATGATCAACCTAAGTTCCGGCACGCACAGGGAGACAAAGTTCATCTTGCCCAGCTAAAGCCAGATCATGACTGCGATAAGAACAAATAATACCAGGTCGTGCAGATTTAGTTGCGCGGGAAGGGGGTTGCGGGAGGGCGCAGCGCCTCCCCCCAGCAGTCAACAAAACCAACCGCCGCAAAACAAAATAAACTAACACTGCCAGGAAGTGCAAGTTTGAAGAAACAGTTTCTGGGTTAGCAAGGTGTGGGAACGTTTTGTTGACTCTTTGTTTCTTTCTCGTTGAACGTGAGCTTGAGTGAAATTCTTTGAGAAGATTTCCTTGGTGCACTTAGAGAAGAGGGATTGCGTGATATGCTCAAAGCTTGTTGACGGTGTTTGAGTGAAAAGATGAAGCGATCTCACTCACATTTGGATCTGGATTTCGAGATGGAGGATGAAGGATTAGAAGCTGGCAACTTGCAACCACAAACGTGCCCTTGAGGGCAACAAGCACACCATGAATCATGTAGGTGGGAAAATAAGTTATTCCCCATTCACAATGCTTTGCGGCAGCCTTGACTTCTGCGAGTTGAAATAATGACATGAAGACTGTGGGTAAATGTGTTTGAGATTCTAAGATATCATATCATTGAAGATCATGTTTAAATCATGATACTACCCTTGGCGATCAATTTTAGGTTATGTTACGAAAGACTTCTAGCCACTGGCCAAGCGCTGTTTTTCTATGATCAATTTTAGGTTATGTTACGAAAGACTTCTAGCCACTGGCCACACGCTGTATTTGTTGTTTAATTCTTTTTTGTTTAATTCATTGTCCTTTCTCGTTGTCATTTTCCTCACTGGACTTCAGATTTCAGTGGTTCCCTCTTTTCTTTTGCTTCTTGCCAGTTTCACTACTTTGGTGCAATATGGTCTGCATGGTTCATTCTAGTCCAATGTATGTGTTTTGGGTTCGCTATAGTTCACGCGTTCAACCTGCATCATCGTACGCCAATTCTACGTCTGAATTCAATTACAGTAGGTTCATCTTCAGTACCGGGAAAGCTTTGGCCACAAACTTGATTCGAAGTGTGGACAAACCTGCAGCCTGCCAATCAAATGAAGAAGGAAGTAGACTGGACAGTTTTGAACCCCCAATCGAATACCTCGTAAGATTTTCAATTTCTGCTCAGATTCGAAAGACATTTGGCCAGGTCGAGCACTGGTCAAACGTAGTTGTTTGTTTCTAGCTCGTGGTCACTGGTTGAATATGGCACTAGGACAAGTACACTGATTTGCAGTTGGTCCAAAGCTTGCTGATGTCCAGTCACCAATCCTTGGAGAATTAGAATGTTGAACATGTCCACTGTGCATTGGATTTAACCCATCACCACCATCCAGAAGGCTTCCAACTATTCAAAGTGTGACTGAGTTTTCTACTCTAGAAATCTGAAGTCTGACAGCACCTTCATCGGTTTCCAACTTCATGCGCTTTCTCCCCGCATTCATTCTCCCCGTTTCTAGTTCTCAATTTTACAGAGAGTCGGCGAAATTTCGGGCTTGTGGTGCTCCGCAGAACGGTTCTAAACGGCTCTGGGTCCCACTCGTCACTTAAAAACTTGTTTTCCGCCGGTGTTCAGATATAGGCAGCTAGCTGCAGGCTAGGTTCTTTTCATTCCTTTGTTTCTGATTCGCACATGCTCCTTCATTTGCAGAATAGATTTGTCCGCTGCCACCTCACCTGCGGCCTGGGTCATTCACGAAGACTCCTCACCAGAGAAGAAGCGGTGTTGAAACAACAGAGAGTGTTGCCAGACTGGACATTGAATGAAAAAACAAGGGCCACAAACAAGCATTTGGGTATTCTAAGTCCTTAGGACTTCCCATGCTTTTGGATGATATACCATGGATTTTTTTTCCAGGCCAAGCAGTTGCTAAACAAAACATTACCCTTTCCCGAGATGATGACTTATGAAATAACTAGACGGGACGACATAAAACTTATAGCTACTCACAACTAATCCTTACGTTTAAACAACTTATAAGACCCTGGGAAATAGTAGAGGAAAAGGCCATCCCCGGAACCGTTTTGAACCGTTTTGAGGGTTTGGAACCCAAAACAGCGATTTGTTCTAAATAGTTCTAAACCGTTGTAAATGCTTCTGGTAGTTTGGGTTCTTGGAACTTGGAACCGTTTAGAACAGTTCTGGGGATCCCGTTGTGGAGTTGTTTGATTCTTGTTTGAGCGAGAGTTAAGTTGATTAAGTTGGAATATATATATATATATTACAATTATATATATACAGATTGTCGTTGGAAGTTTTGGTTATAGGTTCTTCGTTGTTATGACATAAATGAACTACGGGCGATGGTTGAACAATTCAATTGCATGCAGCTGCCGGCATGCTTGGAATATCTTGAGCGAACACACGTTTGGCGTTTGCCCAGACAAGCAACTATGCATGTTGGAAAGCACGTTCGCAGATTTGTTTCAGCTACAAGCATTCAAATTTCCGCAGTTTTAATTCCATCATCCGGGCATTGTGTTTCTACAGTATTATTTCCCACAATGTGTGCTGTTTGCACATATTCACATTGTTTTCAGCGCTTTAACATGTGTTTGAACCATTTCTATTCCATTCATCCGGGATCATTCAGGAACACATTTATATTTGTAATATTTGTTTGCCGGATTTGTTCCCAATTTGTTCCAATAGTTTTACCATTGATAATTTATTTCCAATTTGTTTCCAAGATTTGTTCCCGCATGAGATTTTGTTCCCCATGTTTTCCAAATTTTTCCAATACTGGTTGTAGCAGCAGAGACATAGACTTAAGTTTGAAATAACTCATGGATAAACAACAGGTCTTTGGGCGCAAAATCGCCCTAGGATTACAGTATATTAAAAAAGTCAGTTCCTCGAATTGGCCCATGGGTTTTGAACAGTTTTCTTAACGCAATGCAATACTCATTTTGCAATCCACGGTCAAAAAGTCAGCCTTCTTTCCGTCTTTCCTTGTTTTACTGATCCTGATATTGTTCCTGAAAGCACCTGCGAAGAGTCCTCCTTCAAGAACGTCTACCAACTTCAACTGCAGAACTATCTTCGTGAGCAGCATCATTGGTATCATGATTATCAGCATCATGATTGTCATAATCATCATGGTAAACACTATCAACATCATCATTATCATCCTCACGATCACTATCATCGTCATCATCATCATCACTGTCATTGTTCATCCGCATCATCACCGGCATCGGCATCAGCACTGCTATCTTCATTGACGCCACTGTCATTGTCATCATCAGTAAAATCCATCATCACCATGCCGTCATCATTCTGTGGAGTTGCGCAACTGCAAGTGATTGATGATTGATATGATTGTCAAGGAGATGCATGGTATATCGCATCCACATAGATGCAGCAGGTGGGGGTTGTTCAAAACCCCTTTTGTTCATTTTCCAGGCCACCTTCGCGAAACTTTCGCCAGCTTTCGTGCGCGAGGTTTTCCCGCAGTCGGTGAAAATTGTTATTCGTTGGGACTCGAAACTCCCAAGGACCAAACCTGTTTGAAGAAATCCAGCCCTTCTCTTCTCTCTTCTCTTCTTTTCCCCTCTCTTCTCATCTTTCAACTCTGAGCCCAAACTTGTTGATTCGAAGTGGGCTCAAAGAGCTCATGTGGAAGTTTGTGGCCCAGTTGCTTTTTTCCAGGGTCGGCAAAAGCAACCTGTAGCTTCAATTGCTTTCTTCCGGGTCGAGAAAAGGCAGCCGGAAGTCGGAGGTCTGCGGTTCGGTTGCTTTTCAGGGCGGGGAAGCAGAAAAAGCAGCCGGAAGTCCCCTGGAAACGTTTTCCAGGCTCGGGAAGAAGCAGGGTCGGGAAAAAGCAATCAGAAGTCTGTAGCTCAATCGTCTTTGAGCCTACTCTTGATCATTGCACTTTGCATAAAATTGCTGTTGAAGATCTTTCATCAAATTGCTTCTTCCAGGGCCCTGACAAAGCAACTGGGCTGCAGACTTCTGATGGCTTTTCCCGGCCCTGGAAAAAGCAATCGGATGTCTGAGCTGTCGTCCGCAGACCTTTCGCAGGATCTTCGCGAACCCTTCGGGACTGCGGCGGGGGCACAATGAGAATCAGCCTCCATGGTTTTTACCGTCGCCCCTCCCTTTCAGCTCTCAATTTGCAATTTTGTTCATTTCGTTTTCCGTCCGCCTCCATCGTCGATCCTGCCTGACCATGGCCCGCGGACGTTCTACGAGCAGCTCTCCTGAAACCCATCGACATCGAGGAAAACGTGATCGTCGCACTTCCCGTCGTTCCCGCTCCCCACGCAGGAAGTCCACAGGGCTCCCGGTCGAGACTCCCACTTCTGTCAACACCTTTGAGACTCGCTACCCCATTCCCAAGGCTTGGACTTCGGATGACATACAAACTGACTTTTCCTCGTCGAGTCATCGCAACTGCTTGGAGTCGTGAGCTACATATTGATCACCAACCCATCGAGGATGTACGTCTTATCGACGTGCTCAGTCGCAAGCAGGAGAACGGGACATTACGCCTTGTCGCCAACAGCCGCTTGGTCCAGTACGAAGGATTCCGGAATCGTCAAGAGGCCTACCTCTGGTCCTCCCTCTCCCGGAAGATCTTCAAAAGCTCT